TCACGAAGTGAGTCAAGGTTTCCAAGTTCAACACATTGTTGCTGCCCCAAGCTAATTTTTGCTACTGATCGGGTAATTTTACGAGTGACAAATGTTTCTCCTGTAACAAAAAAAAGGATACATTATAAAGAGATGGAAATTGCTTGAAGGATACCTCTTCTTGGACTCTCATGATTGAAAAGAATACCATTGCATGCAAACATGTTATATGCTTCGCGATAGTTTACAACAATCCAGTAAGCATACATTTTGGCAACGGCTACAATAGAATTATGCGAAGACTAAAGATAACATCACAAACCAAGAAGCTACCGTATGGTGAACGTGGGTAGAATGGAGTAGTCTCCTTCTGTGGAACTTCCTGCACTTTTCCAAACAATTCAGAGGTAGATGCTTGGTAAAAGCGCACCTGAGTATGAGTTAGTGATATATTAAAATATGAAATGGACCATGTGACAACCCATACCTTTTCAGTGAGACCGCATGCATGAATGGCATCCAGTAACCGTAGCGTTCCAACAGCATCAACTTCAGCTGTATACTCTGGCAGATCGAATGAAACCTAAGACGGTATAATTACCAATTGGATAATGTTAAGTGGAACTTCAGACTAGACCAGTAAAAAAAAAGAAGATAGGAAAGTGAAATCACCTTCACATGCGATTGAGCAGCAAGATGATAGACCTCTGTTGGTTGGATTTTAGTGATTAGCTTAATTAGACACGATGAATCTGTCATATCTCCATAGTGTAAGGCGAACGATGCGTCTCCTAAAATGGCTACTGTCAGTTAAATAAGCTTGAGTCTCCCAACTCCAATGATTTGATTTGACCAATGGTATAGAGAAAAGATAAGATTTCTCAAGAATTAATGTGAAAAAAATAGAATAATAGTCTTGAGAAAAACGTAAAAAAGCTTATTTCTAATTTACAGATAGCATACGAAAGTAGCGTGCCAAGTTACCGCTAAACAAAACTGACCTCTATGGGTGATAGGGTTACTATAAAGATGCTCGATTCGGGCG